CTGAGTCCCTTTTCATGTCATCTGTTGCACCACGATTGGCTGACCTATCGAGTTTCGGGCATCTAGATTTGAAATGCTCTCTCGATCCACAGTTCCAGCAAGGGCCGCACTGATGAGCAGGGCCTGTGGAACTTTCTCCCCATTGTCCATCTCTCCAATTTCCTCACCCATGACTGGAGGAATTCCCGGGGGTCATGGCCAAGGCTTTGTCACCTTCACGAGCCCTATGTTTATGATGTGAGTGCTGCATCTCTTTGCAGTTTTGTCATTCTGACTCCTTGATAATGAGGGAAATAAGGATATTGGGGTCAATGGTTTGAGTTGGACTGTACAGACGAGCAGTTGCGAGTTGACTGGACGCAAAGCTGGCAAGGTATTTAGGTAAGGATTGAATGATAGTCAATTGATAATCCTTTTCTTCAATCTGTATGCCGATGGCAGCTAACTTGTCCCTTTTCATATGCAGATTGTCCAAGAATTGGCAGACATCGCCATCGACAGGGCATTGCATGCCCAGGAACTTCATTCGAAGATCCATCTGAGCATAAGCTCCCTTTTCGGTGTACTCACAGACGATTTCACTCCACATGCCTGCTACATTTCCGAGGCTGTGTACCCGCAGAGTGGTGGAATCTGGAATTCGTTGAGTGAGTAAATGTTTTGCCATACTCTCTCTTTTCTGCCATTTGGCAAGCTCATCAGCATCGGGGGGGATTACAGTCACATATCCATCCTCATCAGTGGAGGTTGTGCTGGCAGGGCAGGGTGAGGTGCCATCAAAGTGAGCCCACAGCTCCTTGGCTTTGATGGTGGTCTGGAAGTGAAGGGAGAAAATCGCCCAGTTCACACCTTTGATGTCGAGCTTCAGAACATTGCCCGGGAGAGTGTCTGTAGTGAGGGGAATGGTGGTTGACATAGGGGTCGAAGGCTATGAGCGACAGTGAGAGTATCGAAAATTCAGGTGAGATGTTTTATAGGCTATTAGAGCTCAGGGCTCATAACCTCACAGAAATCTATAATGAGATCTCAGTCGAGTGCGCAAGCGGCAAACATCTGTATTTGCATTACCTATAATGAGATCTAAGGTAACGATGTGAGTGCGAAGTACACAAACATGGAACAAGACACTATACCCACCTCAGTCGAGTGTGTGAGTGGCAAATGTCTGAGGTGGTGTTACTACAGTAGCAAGTTAAGTATGCTATACGAAACAAAAGGGGTGAGACATGAGTGTTGAACCCAGTGTTGAAACTACAAGCACAGTCATAGTGCAAGTCCTTGTACCATTAATTTATACATATGAAACATTTGAAGACAATAAAACAAAAGTTACTGCGCTGTATTGTCAGTGCTGGAGAACGACTAAGTATTGTGGTCTTGTAGACCCATAAATGGGAAGTGTTTCCCACGGTAAGGAAAAGTAGCGTCAATTAATGAATGAAGACTACAAGCGACTTGCCAAATCTAACACATGCATCATGGATGCTTCCGGGGTGACCAAGCCCATAGTCAACCACGAGAAGGTTGTGTGGCATGATAACAAGCTATGAGCAGTAAGTATTCCATTTTGCATGCATTGGAATACACACCTGACAATTGAGTGAATACCTCGATTTTCTGTCATAGAAGCTCTCCCTAAATATTTGGGGCTTTTCAAAGAGCAGAATCGATGAGCTGTCTGCAGTGAAGACTCCATTTCTCCATGCTGGACATGTCCACAATTTAGTGAAGGTACATGCTCTTTCCATATCCTCTGAGTCATGAGGGGGAATATTGACAAATGTATCATGCTCATCCAGTATTGCGACCATGACCTGATTGGTGAAATTGATCACCAATCCCACACTAACCCCAGCCCACTGGGCCACATCCTCTGGTGATGCCACATTCCCATATGCCCCACACAGAAAAGGAAAGTTGTGAGTTGAATGGCAACTGGCAACTGATGATTTTCAGAGCTACTATGAAATATCAGGTGGCTACTTATTTGATCAAGGATGTGATTGAAAACTTCTGGCAATACATGAAGGCATCTAAGGAACAGATGAGGGTGATGGTCAGCAAAATGGTTGAGCAGGCCAAGCTGCAATGACCACATCAATGGTACAGCAGGTTTTTCAAGAACCCATGCATACTCTACTTTGTCCTTCAGAGCCTCAATTGCATTCAGGAGCCATACACACTGCCTATCCCTCTCAACCATTGAGTCTGTATCATCAGAAACACTGGAGTTGGAATCCATTGAGATCAGAGATGGTGGAGTAATGAAGAGGACGCTCTGAGATGAATTGGAATCCCTGTATGTTGCAGTTGAATCACTATTATCACTACTATCAATTTCACAATGTGCATTTTCCAGCCTGGCCATTGCTACCTGCAAGCTAGCTTCATCAAGTTGTCTGAGGAGATTTTTGTGGAGAGATTTGTGGGGCATTGTTCTTCAAGACTTAGCTATTTAATTATTTGATATACTGCTAAAACTACTGTAATTTATTTTGAGTCTGATGGGATGCTGCACTGTTTGGCTTGCTGGAGTTGAAAATGTAGTGGCCAGAACACAGACAGAGCACTTCCAGCACCACCTTGAGTGCCACTACTTTACTATTTTTGACCTTTTTGTGACTTTTTTTGACTTTTTTGTGACTATTGTGACTATTTGTGACTTTTTGGGAAGGAACCTACTATCTGTACTTTTTTTTTGACCATATAAAGCATTTTGAAGAATGAAAAGAGAACAGAATCTATTGAGACAACTAGGTGATGATATATCTAAGCCAAGAAGACTAGAAAATGTCTGAAAATTCAGAGATATTGAGCCACTGGTGTGATGCACACTGTCTGAGAGAAAAATCACAATATCTCTTTGGAACCTCCATCAATTTGAATGTATGTGGTATCTACTGAAAGCTATGAATTAGGTGGTTTGAACAAGACCAAAATAAGCAAGAACAGTGCAGCCATGCCTGCAGGACATGGGTAATGATAGTAGATTCCTTCCCAAAAAGTCACATTAGTCACAAAAAGTCAAAAATAGTAAAGTGTTATTTTCCTGATGATGCATAGTGTCATGGGAGGCAGTAGTGAAAACATGCACACCTTGTGAACATAGATGCTTGCAAATAGGCCAGCAAAGGAGGACAAGGCCATCAGTGCCTCGGTAGAATGGTGTGCAGCCAGCTCCCTGGAGCTGAACCTTGTATGCTGTGTCAGGGTTGTAGAAGGCATGGTAGTGGCATGTGGCCAGTAGATAAACCAACCTCAGCCATGCAAGGGGAGAAGGAGCTCTATGCTGGTGAAGTGGGGGAACCTGGAATTGTGAAATGGCTTTGCATCTTTGTGTGCCTGACTAGATGTTAGTGGATGATCTGACAAGAAAAAAACTACATCACCTTTACATAGCAATCCCAAAAATTGGCATTGTCCAGTGAGACCATCACACCATGATCATCATTGTAAGCAAAGCCAGAGGCCACTGATTTAAGATCAGTGATGGCATAGTAGGATTTTTTAAGCTGGATAATTGTTAGCAAGGCAAAAAAAACAGAATGATATGATGACTTATCACCTTGAACTTCTGCTCACATGATTCAGCTGTCTTATCACTGTTATCCAGACCTGGTGGATAATTATGAGCCATGTGGGCTGCTGTGGCATTCCATGTAGCCTTCTTACAGTTCCCATTGCCAGCCTGTGAAAGATGAGAGGCCAAGAAATCCAGTAACATGCCTTCCTCCTCTGTTGTCCATACCACAGCTTTCTTGTGAGTCCTGGGGGGAGGCAGGGGGTTCCACAGGTCTAGAGGATTGATTGCAAGGCCATGTGAGTGCAACAAGTGGGTTGATCCTGCAGATGAGCCAGACATTTGATGATCACAGTAACTGGGTGACAATGGTTGCATACCTCAGGTGGATGCATGTGATAGTTCACATCATGTGACCCTCTTAACCAAAGCTGAAGTCAAAAACTTGGACTTTGCATTTGCAGGGTGAACAGCACCTTATTTGCCCACCCTATCCAATTCAAAGAAATCAGCAACATCCCTGAATAGTGAGCTTCCCACTGTAACTTGTATTTGCAGCAAACCCTGATCTGCACTCAGGGAACAAGTACACAACTGAACTACAGGACCACTCAGAATATGCAGATGGAGATGGATTGGAGAGCATTCCTTTCACTGACCACCCAACTGAGGAGGGGTTAAAGAGCAGAAAAAAAGGCAGAAAGCTGAAATCCACCCTGAAGTGCACACACCAGGCAAGTTCAGTCATGTTGAATCAGCTGTTATGGCTAACAAGTTTGCACTGTATATTAAGCAGGCTCTGTCAAAATCAAGTGAGCCAGACATGAATCAATGTTGACCTGGGGCCAAATACTCATCCAAGTCCAACCATAATGGATCTGTGACCACCAATGCAGCATCTGCAAATGTGAAACAGGGCATCCCTGGGAGCACCTGGAAGTCACCTCATGTCATAAAGGCCCCTGCAAGGCCAGATGCAGATGTTCCATCTCCTGATGCAAAGAGATCATGCAAGCAAATGGCAGAAATCAGAAGTGGAAGTAGTTGTCAAATCCCTCAAACAGTCAGAGAGGAAACCTTTTTTAGAATTTGTGTATGGTCTATAGAGGGCTTAGCCTAGTGTGACACATTAGAATACAAGTGTATGGCATGTACAGTAGCTGATGACACCATGGTGGTTGTGAGAGGTGTCTCTGATATCAGAGGGAGGGATAGTTAAGTGGGACAGTTGAGCAGGACAATTGAGCAGAGAGCTGAGTGGGACAGGTCTACATATTGGCCATGTGGAAGTGACTGGTAGCTATCTATGTAGGGAGATATTGCTGCTCATCTCCCATGTATTGCTGTTACCCAAAATTTGGCTCCATCTGCCATTGTCCAACCTTGCTTCCTACAGTGTGAATGATATTCTTGCCATTGTTCCTACAAGTTTAAATCTTGATTGATCATCAACCTATCAGTGAACCCAACATCATCAAATATGTCCACCAAACAGTCCCACCAAGTTCATTTCCATCATCAAGGTGAGGTTGTCTTCATTGTTGGATCCAGTGACCTAAGCCATCTGCAGCTAATGTAAGACCAATCAAGCCATGGCAATCTAGCTCCTGCATGAAGCAGTCCAAAAATATGGAGGAGATGCTAGTACAACTACATGAGTTGCAAGAGCCAACCCCTCCACCAATTGTCTCCAGTGGAAAGGCGGATATGGCAGGGTCAAACATGGATATTGCAGCTGGTGAGTGAACATGATTTCTCCCTAAGCTAAACAACAAATGTTCTTTCACTATAGATTCATGCGAACACTTGCTGGATCAGTTCCTGCAGGAAAGGGAGCCAACTGCTCTGGCAGAGTGCAGAATCATGGCCAGTGAGTTGGCACAATTGCCCTTCAAGCTAATGAACAAACTAATTTTCTAGTAATAGATCCACATGACAACTCAATGAATCAGTTCCTGAATGAACAGGAACCAACTACTCCCCCAGCAGATGGTATGAACATGGATCTACTCAAGCAATTGCTGAATGTGCAGGAACCATTGGCACTGCCAGTCATGCATGAACAATTAAACAGGATGGACAGGTCTTCAACACCTGCACAAGATGTTACTATGCAGGTCGATTTTCTGGCAGACTTGCAGAATGTGTGGGAACCATCTTCTCTGCCCATCACCCATGAATCATCAAATCTGAAGGACCAATCTCCTTGACCTGATTCTCCAACTAACCTGCTTGCTCAATTGCAGGATATGAGGGAACCAACACCTCCCCCACTCATTTCAAATGTACCCATTGAATCTTTTGACTTGGCAGCAGATGAGGACAATGGCACAAACCATTTGACTTTTGGCATGCCCAAACAACCAGAGATGAGCAATCTTTTCAAAGAAATATGCAATGGTGAGCATTTATTTGGTTCTATTCATGTGATTGGTGATATCCATCAATTATGTAGGTGAACTTCCATCTGCACAGCAATCTCTTCAAATGGAACAATGGGGATTGGCACCTGTTCCACATTGCAGTCAAGGTATGGGCATGAGCTTGATCTGATACACCTTTGACATTGATAATTTTAGTCCTGCACACCTTGCATGCTGCAGTATCTCACTATTGTGGAAACACCACTCCCAGCAACACACTGTTTGATCCCACCCTTGATAGGCACCTTGTGTGGGCTGTGAATGCCATTGTGAGAGAATTGGGCACAGCTGCAAGGGACCAGTATGGTGCAGCCTCTCAGGGCCTTTGACTTGTCAATATGCTTGATTTGATGGAAGTTGTTCATTATCTGCATTCTGCCTTTGAAAATTGTCCCAAGCTGTTCATTGCCAGCCAATCACACCCATCTCACCAGTCTGTGGTAGAGATGGGTATCCTCTACTTGGCATGCCAGATCGAGGTGGCCTCTGTACATCTGAAGCAGACTGCTGATATCATGGGATGGCCTGTGCATTGGTTTGCAAACCTAGCAATGGACTTGGTAGGTTTTACATCAATTTTTCACAATGTGGGACTGATACATAATTCCTTCAGAATCAGCTTAATAGCTTGATTCTGGTGACAGTGTTGCATGCCATTTATACTCCCCTCCTGGCATGCTACCATGCATACCTCAGACACCAAGATGATGAGGTTAGCTTCTGCAATCAAATGCAGCTAATTCCCCTTAGTGCATTTTGCATAATTGACAATATCAGTGCCATCATCCCACATTGGACCCCACATGCAGCTGATCCCAATTCTGGCTTTGCAGTCCCTTGGTGGCTATATCATTCCAAGGAATACACAGTGGATTCCCAAAGATTGCAAGGCAAGGGATTGTTTTCCATGGCCTGGGATTTTTTTAAGGTATGCCACTTATTCTCATTGCTGCAAATAGTTGATGATGGCCCAGGGCTTATGGCCATTGCCTGAGGCACCAATCACAGACCATCTCAATGGCCATATTGAGGAGCAGGTAAACTACTGCATCAAAAATATTTGGAAATATGCTGATGTTGTCAATGGTCAGGGTAAACAAATTGACCATTTCTATGCTAGGTGGTGGGCATTGTGCAGGTTGTTGGGCATGCCACTTCAATAGTTTACATGTTTTTGACTGTGGAGTTGGTTGTATATACATTGCTGCGAATGTCAATCATTTATGAGATACCACCCATTCACATGATGTCTGAACCCCTGCCCATCCATGCAATGTCTGACAATCTGCCCATCTGCATGATGGCCTGAGTAGGTTTACTTTTTTTGCAGTTTATGATGCACACCCTTTAGCTCTGAGTACCCACCCAATCTATGATGTCAAAGCACCTGCCCATTTGCAAAATCTTGGCAACACCACCTGTCCAAAGTTAGAGAGCCAGCATATCCTAATAAAATACAAATCTGCATTGCCTACTAAATCTTACATTAAATTTTGCAGCTTCAAATCAACAGTTCTCCAGTTGCAACTGGTCTAGGTAGTAGGTTGTCCATCTGCAGTGATTGACACATGGGAATGTACACCAACTGATGTACATTGGCATGCATGTAGTACACCAGGCATGCTCTGTCACCATCTACAGCTCCCACCCAATGCTCCAATGCTGAACCTGAAAATGCAATGATCATCCCAGGGTTGTAGTGCAGCTGCAGATTCAACATTGGAATGACAAAGTCCAAGGGTGGGTAGTCACCCATGTTATGCCCATGCCAGCGGTCTTTCCTCTTTTGGCTTCTTGTGGTCACATGCATCACATGCCTTGTTGTGTCCCTTGTGGTTGTCACTGTCCCAGGGGCTTGTTTGTTGAAGGGCTCATTCAGGTCCCCAGTTGCCATAATGGTTCCAGTACCTGTCAAAACCATGCATCTGCCTTGGTCCAGTGTTTCATGGGAAATTCTCTGATGGACAACATGTTACAATCTCTCCTTTCTGACTCGTTTCTAACCTTGTTATGTTACTTGTATGTTGTACTATAGTTCCAGTGTCTGGCTCCTCACTGTGCATTGATGGTGCAGCTGGTATAGCCTTCATTTCCTTGTCCACCCCCATCATATGACACTGTATGACTCCTTCTGACTTGCTTATTTAACTGATAATTTTGTTGATTGCTGTGGATACATGTCATGACTGGTACAGTACTCTCATTGTATGGGTATATAGTCTCGAGTACCTTGTCCTGTATCCTCAGTATTTTGATAGCTTGCAACTCAGCTTCATCCCTTCACTCTCATCTTCATTCCCTCCTCTGTGTGATCTCAAAGGAACTCACCAGAAGGAGCAAACCTCTGACCAATGACTGTGATAACTGAGCCACAGGGGTTATGACATGTTTGGCCTGTAGACTCTCTCTTGCATGCCTCATGCCTATTCCATTTGAAGAAGTCACTGTGCTCGAGCATAACAGCCCACAGTTACCAGCATGTCATACCATGGATCCCATCCATTGATATCCCTGTAGTAACAAGTTGCCTGATTCACCATCATGGACATGCTGCTATACATGGAGCTCCATATTGGCAGTATGGAACTCATATCCAAATCTGCCCACTTTTCCACCTGTTTGCCAAGGCAGATCAACACTTCCCTGCCATCTTCATACATTCACAGATGGATGACATGCAGGATTGCAGATAACAGGGCATTGGTGTCAGACATTTGGTCAACCCATTGCCTTGTAGAAGTGTTTTCCTTCCTGGATTTGAGCAGCCATGAGGCTTCTGGGAAGCCATTTTGGGGCTTCAAGACAGATGAGCGCTTTATTCACAAGGCAAGAAATGATCACCCACCCCATGACCCTGTTGAAACCATGTGGGTGACAGGTTGATGGCACCTTTCAACTCAGCATTATTGCAGAAATATGACTTGTCCATCTGCCATGCCTGTGGGGAAGCCTTTATGCTCTCCTGCAGTGGTTTCCCCAGAAGATGAAAGCAGTTCCATATGTTGGCCTGCCATTCCATTAAGTCAGTAGAATATGAGATTCTGCATTCCCTTACCCTTCTTTTTGGGCTGAGAGCATCCAGCAAATACCAAATGTGGATGGTGTTTGAGTCAGTCACCAGAATGGATGGCTCAGTCACTTCTGCATATCTCTCAGCAGCTCCTGCATTGCAGGTTTTTCCACCCTGATTTTTCCTGATGTTGACTGCAGAAAGATGAAATCTTCCATCACACCATTATGATGGACTTCCTTTGGCAATGATAGGCCTGTGAGATTACTGATGATATGCAATCTGCTTCACATAACACCAGAAATGGAATCGATATATCTGGAAGGGTGCAAGGTCTGCTGAATACCTCCTCTTGAAATCTGGCTTTCATGTATGACACAATGCAGTCTGTTAGTTCCATTCACCATTTGTGGGGGGTTTTAGACATGTCTTGCATAGTATTCATGCTTGGGGTGGATGAGGTTGGAGTTGTATAGTGGGTGAGCTGCTTGCAGCTTGTTGGAAAATTACAGCATGTTGGGACACTTGCCTCAATATTTTACTGTGATCTGATCAATATGTTGTGATGCTATACATGCTATTGGTGTTGGGCCCATCTTATGTTGTGACAGGGGTGGATCTTACTAGACAGACCCATCCTTGTTTTATGGTGATATAAAAGATATTACTGAAGGGCCTGTCCATATGTTATGACCATATAAATAATACTGCTGAAGGGCCCATCCTTATGTTGTGACCACATAAATGATACTGCTGAAGGGCCCTTCCATATGTTGTGATGCTATAAATGATATTACTGATGGGCCTGTCTTTATGTTGTGACAGGGGTGCATCTTACTAGATGGGCCTGTCTATGTGTTGTGACAGGGGCATATCTTACTAGATGGGCCTGTCCATCTGTTGTGACAATGTAATTGATAATACTGACTGGCCCATCTTTATGTTGTGACATGGGTGCATCTTACTAGATGGGCCCATCCATGTGTTGTGACCCTGTAAATGATATATATTGAAGGGCCCATCTTTATGTTGTGACAGGTACATCTTACAATGGAGAGGCCCACCCATGTGTTGTGATGGTATAAATGATATTACAGAAGGGCCCATCCATATGTTGTGATGCTATAAATGATATTACTGATGGGCCTGTCTTTATGTTGTGACAGGGGTGCATCTTACTGGACAGGCCTGTCTATGTGTTGTGACACTGTAAATGATATTACTGATGGGCCTGTCCTTATGTTGCAACAGGTGTACATCTTGCTATGGATGGGCCCATCTATATGTTTGTTGGAGTTTATCACCTTTACCTTAGTTGTGGTTCACCAAGCACAGCATTATGTAATCCAAGAGCGGACACTTAGCAGTTTATTTTTTCCTTACTGCACCTCAGCTTCAACCAACTTGAAGTCTGAGTATATTCCTCTCTATAGACTTGACAATCCTGCAGCTCGTCATCCTCCAAAAATGTTGCGACAGGGGTATATTATCCCAAAGATGGGCCCTTCCATATGTTGCCAACTCTGTAATCTATCATAGAGGGGCCCCTCTTCATGTTGTGACCCTATAAAGCATATGATGGGCAGGCCTGTCCTGATATTGTGACTGGGGCACACCCTACCATGGACAGGCCCATCCATGTCTTACAGTAGCTCAGCATACTTACTTTGTTATGGGCCCATCTATATGTTGCAGCATCCTTACCCTCCACAGGCCCTCCCATATGTTGTGGAATTGCACTTACAGGCCCATACATATGTTGCTCTCACTATAGGCCCTCAGGCCTGTCCATGTGTCATGGCTAATCTATTTAGATGGGCCCATTGTGGGGTCTATATAAGTGTTGGCATTTTGGCATGCAGTCTACCTATATGTTGTGACTAAATGGACTACATGGGGTCACTATAGGCCCTCAGGCCTGTTCATGTGTCATGGCTAATCTATTTAGATGGGCCCATTGCAGGGTCTATAGAAGTGTTGGCATTTTGGCATGCAGGCTACCTATATGTTGTGACTAAATGGACTACATGGGGTCATTTTTCAGTCTTGGGAACAGGAAGATGCTTGGGTTTCAGCACAGCTGTTCTAGTTGAATGGTCTGCACTACATACATCATCCCCAAGCTATGCTTTGATTATCAATTGGAGGAACTCGGTTCGCCCATACCTCACACCTAAATTAGGCCCTGTTGATTGTGAATACATGGCTGTAACAGTTATACCTGTGCAAGCAAATCGGGTATGTACAACGGTCAATGTCGTGATGCTGTGACTATCTACACAATATTGAACATCCTAGCTTTGCTTGTCAGGATACTGGTCCGGTTCATCGACTGAGCAGTAATGAGGGTAGAAGACGCGATCCTTTTGTGCTCGTCGTGAGGTAATTGAGTCAACAGAAGAGCATTAAACGGCCTATCCAATGTAAAGAGTAGCTGCTCTTCAGTCACGGCATCTAACTCGACGGATAAACCAAGCAACTTCAAGTGCCAAGGGCGCACGAGCTGTAGAGCATCCTGCGACCTCGTTGCACTTTCCAGTTTGTCTGGCAGCGTGATTTCAAGTGGCCTCAGACCGGATGCCTGGATCTTGTACGTGTAACTAGGTACCGAAGAATCTGCCCCTTTCAGTTGAATATCTGTAATAGGATGGGCGATACATGGCAGTATCAGGCGACGATTGATGAATCGCGGAGGAGGCGCTTTAGGAAGTGAATGGAAATCATACACGTCGCGTGGGGCGTACGAAGCTGAGGTTTGCAGCCTGACCACCGGAAAACGTTGGACAATGCCTGACGATGTCTGTAGGCGGCTTAGAAAGTAGGGGAGGAGCGACGCAGTGAGCTCGAATGAGCCACGCAACCATCGCAGTATTCCAAATGGTGATGGAGGCCTTTGACTCATCGACGGTGCCCCTTTTTCTGCGTCATGTTGGGGTGGAGGCAATGGTGGCATCTGGTACGAGGTAATGCGAGCAGGGAAACAGCTATGAAACGGTGACGCCTCTCCGACCCAGTCCAGAACCGAGATATCCCCAGACCGCGATATGATTTCGGCTAGGAGACGGCCAAGCGAGTCCTCAGTAGATTCGCCATACAGAACCGGTAGGTGAAGATTAAAGATCCCAAAAAGTGAGTAGGCAATATCCTCAGGCCGGGTGGTACGCCGCGAAGACGCCCATTGGAGTCTCGAACGGGCATCATCCAAACCTGGAAAAAAGTTGGTGAGGAACCGGGACTCTATTCCAGTTGCCCTTTCTAGCTCATCCAGCACAGCGACATCGGCTTTATGGTTCGAAGACGAGATGTTCTTGTAAAGTGACCAGTTCTGGGTGTAGAACAGTACGGCTCGGGGAGCCAGTAGTTCTTGGAGGGTCCAACCCCGTCTGAACCATTCGCTGCTCCCAAACGAACCAGTATCGGGAACGTCAGAAAGGTAAACGATGGTCAGAGCAGACTGCCGACACCACGCAAACATTGATCCAATCGTTTCTTGCACCTCTGCACTGCTATCTTTGTCGATGCAGCAAGTGTCACTCCACACCCATAAGTAATCCCGCTCCAAAGCAACACGACAGAAGGCTTGAAGCTTTCTAAAGCCGCCCTTCGCTGGCATATTATATATTGAATGGGCTTCGATTCCGCGCAATGATGGCTCACCTTCACCCCAGCGGTGAGAAAGGGTAACGTACTGGAAGTGCCTCGAGATGGCAGTATGGATAAGGTCCATTCGCTGATCTGGTTCACACGTTGTGCATGAGGTCAGCAGTTGACAATATTCTTGACTTTTCATAAAATGCGATATCTGTGCATCGCGGTTGCACAGGATGCCAGTATGCGTGTGCAACAGCCTCGTTGGTGTGGTTGTGAGGGTCTCAAATGCAACATGGCGGATGACTCGCTCGACATCAAAGGGAGTAACACCTGGGGCATCCGAAGACATCATAGTAACTTGTGAGCCACTCTTCATCTGGAGATAGACTGCAAGACAACACCGAAATGTGTCATAATCAGGGCCTCCACGCACGAGCAACTGCAGGGCTTTTTTCTCCAGCGCAATAGCTTCATCCAGATCTGCTGTTGCAGGTTGTTGACGAGACCGGTCTGCCAGACACTGTGCAAGGTTGTGGAGGGACGAAGCGTGACCGGGATGCCCTATCGGGTGGAGTTGCAGCACATATCTGTAAAGCGTGATAGCCTCGTTCAAATCGACAATTGCATGTTGAGTGTGGAATCTGGTCTTATGATATTTCGCAAGATCGGATAGATTGTCTGCAGCTCGACCGAGCATGACGGGTTCGTCCGAGTTTGCTCCCTGGGACAGCCTCTGAACCCATGCTCCAACGGACATAACTTCACCAGGTAATTGGAACTCCAAAGCACACGTTGCAAGAAAAATAGCGTCGTCTAAGTCGGTCGTCACGGCCTGCTTCTGAAATCTGCCCCAGAGATGCAGTGACAGCCGAAGGAGTGAAGGGGAGAAATCAGCCCTGCTTCGAGTGAGATGGATCACCGACATCCACCCCAGCGTGTCAGCCTGATGTTGAAACTTCTTCCAGAGGTTGGTTGTATAGGACTGTGCCATGATTGGGATGTCCTGTTGGACAGACCTCTAGTGCTGCATGTTCGAGTGTGATAGCCTCTTCCAAGTCATCGACTACTCTCTCCTTATCATGTCTATTTGACAAACAGAGAGAGAGCTGATGGAGCATTGAGGGCCAATCAGGATGTTCAGTAGGATGTAGTTCCAAAGCTGCACGGAGCAGCTTGATTGATTCCTCCAAGTCACGTATCGCAAGCTGTTTCAAGAACCTCTTCCTAAGGTCGCAAGCCAGATTGTAGAGAGATCAGACCCTTCAGTCACCTGTAGGCCTGAAAGTGGGTCATCCAACATGTACATTTTGTCCTAAAAGTGGGACTAACCGATGTTGGCCGATGGTGCCCAAAAGGTGGGTAGGCTGGTGTGTGGAAGTGGAGTCGGCCAACCTGTTTGGAGGATGGTCCCAGTCCCTGGAAGTGGGGTCGGCCAACCTGTTTGGAGGGTGCACCCACCTCCTGGAAGTGGGGTCGGCTGACCTGGCTGGAGGGCAGACCCAGTGCCTGAAAGTGGGGTCAGCTGACCTGGCTGGAGGTGGGGTCAGCCAACCTGTTTGGAGGATGGTCCCACTGCCTAGAAGTGGGTTTGGCTGACCTGGCTGGAGGTTGGACCCAGTGCCTGAAAGTGGGGTCAGCTGACCTGGCTGGAGGGCAGACCCAGTGCCTGAAAGTGGGGTCAGCTGACCTGGCTGGAGGGCAGACCCAGTGCCTGAAAGTGGGGTCAGCTGACCTGGCTGGAGGATGGTCCCACTGCCTGAAAGTGGGGTCAGCCAACCTGGCTGGAGGTTGGACCCACTGCCTGGAAGTGGGTTGGACCCAGTGCCTGGAAGTGGGGTTGGCCAACCTAGCTGGAGGGCAGACCCAGTGCCTGAAAGTGGGGTTGGCTGACCTAGCTGGAGGTTGGACCCAGTGCCTGAAAGTGGGGTCAGCTGACCTGGCTGGAGGGCAGACCCACTGCCTGAAAGTGGGTTCGGCTGACCTGGCTGGAGGGCAGACCCACTGCCTGGAAGTGGGGTCGGCTGACCTGGCTGGAGGGTAGACCCACTGCCTGAAAGTGGGGTCAGCCAACCTGTTTGGAGGATGGTCCCACTGCCTGAAAGTGGGTTCAGCCAACCTGGCTGGAGGGTGGACCCACCTCCTGGAAGTGGGGTAGGCTGACCTGTTTGGAGGGTAGACCCACTGCCTGAAAGTGGGGTCGGCCGACCTGTTTGGAGGATGGACCCACCTCCTGGAAGTGGGGTAGGCTGACCTGTTTGGAGGGTAGACCCACTGCCTGGAAGTGGGGTAGGCTGACCTGTTTGGAGGGTAGACCCACTGCCTGGAAGTGGGGTAGGCTGACCTGTTTGGAGGGTAGACCCACTGCCTGGAAGTGGGGTCAGCCAACCTGTTTGGAGGATGCACCCACCTCCTGCAAGTGGAGTTGGCTGACCTCACTGGGAGATGCACATACCCATACCAATAAGAGGTTCAATTTTGGTACCTTCAGCTTTCTGTGAAAACTTGTATGAGGGCATTGCAAGATAGCATGGCAATGTACAGAGTAAGCCCCCTCCATATTACTTGCTTTTTGGCCTTTCAGCAGGTCTCCCTTCACCACTAGGCACCTTTTGGTTGTGCCTGCCAGTAGCCAGTACCACATCAGCATTCATCACTAAGTGTTGTGGAACCCCCCCCCTTTGTCCCTAGGAGCAACCAATCTTGACAGTCTCTTTCCATGTCTCCATGCTTCATGTTTGATCCTAATCTAACATTCTGCACTTAGTTGTCTATCTGCTTGTTTTCTTTTAAAGTCTCTTATCAGGTTAGAACTGATCCTCTCACCCAAGGGGGGTATAAAGCTCTAGGGATCTGCTGATGTTCACTGACAAGTACCAATGCAGTACCAAGGGTGGGACATTACAGCTGAGATGTTATGAAGTTGATCAAATGGTACTGAACACAAAGTGGACCTGCTCTGTAGTTGACATGTTATGTAGCAGTGTTCTTGTACAAGTCCTGACAGAAGGCTGATAAAGAAGACCTATAGAGGTATTACAGTTTTTATTCAAACTGAGGTATCTACCACATGAGTTACCAACATATGTATGTACTACCAACAAGCAATGCAGGCTACAATGTAGGTATGCACAGCCAATACAAAGATCCCAAGTGCCGGTAATCCAAAGACTGACAGGTATGGTCCAGTATGGTAAAGGTTAGACCCAATGGATTGGACATGAGCTTAGACCAATGGATTGATTACCCTGGTCTTGGGTCCCAAGTCTTTGGCCTATGCCATACCCATTTGCCTACTACTTACACACAACCTCACCCCCACCCCATGTGGTATGGATCCCTTAGATTTCACTCTTATCTGACCCTCAGGTTTACCCTTTGACTCAATCACTGGGGTGGTGGGATTTCTACTTTGCCCAGTGCATGTCCTTTGCTAGGGTTAGGGTTAGGGTTACACAACTTCAAAAAATCAAGCAGCATGGGAGCAATTCATGTTACACAGCCTAGCAACTACAAGGATTGACCAACCAAATACACAGCCAAGGAAATACAGGAATGACCAACCAAATACACAGCCCAGAAAATACAGGATTGAGCAAATACACAGCCAAGAAAAATACAGGACTAAGTTACAGAGCAAATGTTCCAATTGGAACTGAGACCTCAGGCATCCTGGAGGGGCCCCTCCCCAGAAAGACACTGAGATCTCTAGAGAAAATAAGGTATTTAAAAGACTAGTACAAAGATAATACAGATGTCAGTCAGAAGCTGGCCTGCACTGGCAGGCACAGACTATAAATCCCCCAGAACCCACAAAGCTGGCCTGCATTAGCAGGCACAGACTAAGCCCCCAGGTCCCACAATGAAAAAGTCCTAAGCTGGCCTGCACTAGCAGGTACAGACTATGTAACCCCCCAGAACCCCAGCTGGCCTGCAAAAGCAGGCACAGACTAAACCCCCAGAACCCACAGGAAGATAGTATCAGTAACCTACACACCCATAATGTGCTGGCCAGGCACACAGTGGGCTGCAGGACAACAACAGGATACTACAAGACATACCTTAAACCCATGCAGCTGCAGTCTACATAGGTGAAGTCCAGCATCAAGGGAGTGGTAAGAGGAACATGGGAGAGAGAAAGATGAAGAGCAGTGTGTTGAAGTGCGTCTTTTATAAAATTTTCTGTTTGCTGCTGTTTGGTCATCAGCCACTGGTCGCAGCATGTGCAGTGAAGCATGTCACGTGACATGCTGATGGCACACTGCACAGCACAACATTACTTTTATGTAATCACAAAAGCGGACCAGTAGTTAATTGGTAATGAAAACACAGCTACAATGATGTCATGTCAAATTTGTAATGAAACCCTGCCACAACTAATTACATAAGCATACTGATAATAATACCATCAGGGGCCATTTGTGAAGCTGAATACAGCTGTGCATATGTCAACACAGCCACATCAATGAGAAATTCAAACTCTGCTTTGAGGGTGGGATAGTGATGGTAAGGGGTACACAGCCACAATGATGTCATGACAAAATTAGATTGAAACTCTGCCCCAAGTGATTACATAAGCATACTGATATTAATACCATCAGGGGCCATTTGTTGGGCTGAATACAGCTGTGTACATAATAAACACAGCCACATCAATGAGAAATTCAAACTCCACTTTGAGGGTGGGATAGTGATGGTAAGGGGTACACAGCCACAATGATGTCATGACAGAATCAGATTGAAACTCCGCTACATCTAATTAGGTAAGCATATTGATATTTAATACCATCAGGGGCCATTTGTTGGGCTGAATACAGCTGTGTACATAATAAACACAGTCACATCAATGAGAAATTCAAACTCCGCTTTGATGGTGGGAAAGTGATGGCATGGGGTACACAGCCACAATGATGTCATGACAACATCATGTCAAACCCCACTTCCAGGAGGTGGGTCCATCCTCCAATCATGTTGGCTGACCCCACTTCCAGGAGGTGGGTCTGCCCTCCAGCCAGGTCAGCCAACCCCACTTTCAGGCAGGGGGTCCACCCTCCAGCCAGGTCGGCCAACCCCACTTTCAGGCAGTGGGTCCACCCTCCAGCCGGGTCAGCCGACCCCACTTCCAGGAGGTGGGTCCACCCTCCAGCCAGGTCAGCCAACCCCACTTTCAGGCAGTGGGTCTGCCCTCCAGCCAGGTCGGCCGACCCCACCTTCACAGTCTGGCCTACCCACCCCTAGGGACCACTGGCCGATGTCGGTTAGTCCCAGTTTCAGGACAAAATGTGCACATCGGATGACCCACTTTTAGGCTTACAAGTGACTGAATCATGTGGAGAGATTCACCACAATCAGGATGCCCTGCTGGACAGAGCTCTAGTGCTGCACTTCTGAGTGTAATAGCTTCTTCCAAATCATCGAATGTCTCCAGCTTATCATGTTTATTCAACAGACAGAGAGCAAGTGCATGGAGCAATGAAGACCGAAGAGGATGTCCAGGGGGATGTAGTTTCAAAACTGCATGATGCAGCTTGATCGCTTCATCCAAGTCATAATTTACAGCCTGTGCCACAAACCTGCTCCGGAGATCACAAGCGAGATTGTGGGAAAGTGCACTACGATTAGGATGCCCTGGTGGACAGATCTCTAGTGTTTCACATCCGAGTGTGATGGCTTCTTCCAAGTCGCCAACTAGTCCCTGAGCATTATATCTATTCGACAGACAGAGACCAAGTTCATGGAGTGATGAAGGCCGAAGAGGATGCCCAGGAGGACATAGTTCCAAAGCTGCATGGATGAGTTCGATAGCCTCCTCCAAGTCATGGATCACAGCCTGTTTCATGAACCTCGTCCTGAGGTCACAAGCAAGATTGTGGAGAAATACACAATGATCATGATGACCCTGTGGACAGAGCTCTAGTGCTGTGCATCCAAGTGTGATGGCTTCTTCCAAGTCACCGATTCGACCCTGATTGCGATATCTATATGACAAACAGAGAGCAAGTGCATGGAGCGATGAAGAGCAGGGAGGACGTCCAGAGGGACATATTTCCAAAGCTGCATGGTGCAGCTCAACGGCCTCATCCAAGTCATGGATCATGGCCTGTTTCGTGAACCTCACCCTGAGGTCACAAGCGAGATTATGGAGATATATGCCATGGTATGGATGCCCTGGTGGACAGAGCTCTAGTTTTGCACGTCTGACTGCTATGACTGCTCCTTCCAATTCAGCAAGTACCCTCTGATTGCTAAATCCATTCGGCAGACAGAGAGCAAGTGCATGGAGCAATGAAGACTGAAGAGGATGTCCAGGGGGATGTAGTTCCAAAGCTACATGGAGGAGCTTGATAGCCTCCTTCAAGTCCCGGGTCACAGCCTGTTTCGTGAACTTCCTCATGAGGTCATAAGCAAGATTGTGGAGGGATATGCCATGATCGGGATGCCCTGGTGGACAGAGCTCTAGTGCTACACATCCTAACATGATGGCTTCTTCCAAGTTACCAACTAGCCCCAGACATCCATATCTATTTGACAGGCAGAGAGCAAGTGCATGGAGCAATGAAGACTGAAGAGGATGTCCGGGGGGATGTAGTTCCAAAGCTACATGGAGGAACTCGATGGCCTCCTTCAAGTCTTGGATCACAGCCTGTTTCGTGAACCTCATCCTGAGGTCACAAGCAAGATTGTGGAGAGATATGCCATGATCTGGATGCCCTGGTGAACGGAGTTCTAGTGCTCCACGTCCGAGCATAATGGCTTCTTCCAAATCATTGAATGCCCCCAGCTTGTCATGCTTATTTGACAGACAAAGAGCAAGTGCATGGAGTGACGAAGACCGAAGAGAATGTCCAGGGGGACGTAGTTCCAAAGCTGCACGGAGGAGTTCGATGGCCTCCTCCACATCGTGGATCACAGCCTGTTTCGTGAACTTCACCCTGAGGTCAAGAGCAAGATTGTGGAGAGACATGCCACGTTCTGGATGCCCTGATGGACGGAGCTCTAGTGCTGCATGTCTGAGTGTGATGGCTTCTTCCAAATCATCGACTACCCCCCGAATGCCAAATCTAACCGAAAGAGAGACTGCAAGATTGTTGAGAAGCAAGGACCGATTGACACTCTCAAGTAACCGGAGATCCAAAGCAGTTGTAAGTGTTCGCTTACCTTACCACTTACCGCTTGCCACTTGCACGCCATACGCACCGTTCACACTATCACTTCATGTCATCACATCTCCTATTCCCTCGGTCGTGCCCTCGTCTGGGCATGCAGATCCCTCCTGCTGTGTTGTACTGTTTGGACCCCAGGGGTATATATACTGGTGCTGCATGTATGCGCAGGTCGTCTCTTCTTTTCTCTCTTTCCTCTCACTTGCTCTGTTGAGCATCTTGTATCAGTGTATATGCTTGATTGTCTAATCCCCACATGCCTGTCCACGTTCTGTCGTCGTTGTGAGCCGTTCTGAGTGTACTCACCCCACAGTGGTGAGTTCCACTTTTTTTGAACGTGCCATAGCATGTGTCGATGCCTGCTAGAGGTGTCAAACTGCTGTCCCATAAACTGCTGTCCTGTCGTGTTCCCTCTGTCCCCGTACCCTTGACTACCTGTAGTCGAGGGAATAACCCTCTGCCCACGACATCATTGTCATTGCCATTGTGCTCGTCTTTGTCTTCGCTGTCTACGTCACACGCTGCCTCTACTCCCCTGCCATCTACGCCACCACCTGTGGCCCTGCCCAGCACTGCTCCGTCTCCACCTATCTCCCCTGCATACGTCCCATTACCAGCATCCCTTCCACCGTCTCCGACTTCCATGGATAGCTCATTGTCATCTGATAGCTTCACAGTGGTTCTCCCTGTCTTTGCGATGTCCTCAACACAGTCTCAGGTAGCGTGATGTGAAAATACCACTCCTGGAAAAACCCCTCCCTTCTTGACAGCGGGTGACATCACCCCGGAAGGGTTGCGAAGCTGGGAACTAGGTTGCGAGAATTACTTTCGGCTAAAAAGCGTAGCAGAGGACGTTCAGGTTGCCAAAGTTGTGGGTCACCTTCTGGATCCTCATGTGCAGGACTAGATTAGTAACAACGGCAGTTGACTGACTGCCCTCTCCTTCTCAGAGTTTATGGATGAAGTCTGTACGTACTGGCTTCCCAGTGACTGGGTGGAAGCTATCCAGCAGAAAATGCTCTCGTCAACGCAGGGTAACAAAGCCTTCCACTTGTGGGCTGTCGAGGTGGAGAGCCTGAATGTTCTGTTATGGGGTAGCGAGTTCCACCTCACTGAAGACCATCTTTGTTTTCACCTAGAGTCTCACATGCACCCAGATCTCACTGCAGAATATCGCTTGTCTGGTGGCCACTGTGAGAAGCAGTTCCATGCTTGGCTCAACCTGGTCCGCTTGCTTGATGAGAAACACATTCATGATGCTGCAAAACTCGATGCAGCTCTTTGTAGAAAGCCTTTTCAACCTAGCCATTCAGCTAACACTGCAGCATTGGGTTCGAAGGCACCAGATGGTCGCACCCGCACTCGCCCTCCTGCCCTCACTGTCGAGGAATGCCAGCTCCTTCGGGACAACTCGGGCTGTTTCAAATGCCACCGTCTCTTTCAAAACCATACCACATGTGATTGCCCAAATGATTTCCCTGACGCAAAAAACTACAAAGCGCTGACTGCTGCCAATGTTGAGGCCACTCATAAGAAATGTGCCAAACCTATTGCCACAATCATTGAAGAGGAGCCTGCAGCAAAGCGCTCCCGCATCACTGAAGTGGATGACAACACAGATGCCATTGCTGTCATCATGCCCTCTGCTGCACTGGGGGATGGAACTGACTCAGGTGAAGAGTACGTTGCACCTCTTTCCATTCCCCATCTCCGGTGGTCCTGCCTCCTGGAAGGACCTAACATGACCTTCCCTCTACCTGTGAAGACACTGATTGACAGTGGTTCTCATTTAGTTCTGATTGATGAAACCCTTGTCTCGAAGCTAGGGTTATGGTGCCATCAGTTGCATAAGTCCCTCGACGTTTCAGTAGCACTTTCTTCTGGTAACTGGGAGGTCATGTCTCTGCAGAGTTACATTGTGCTATCTTGTCTTTCCCCAGATGCACACTTTCGTTCTCGGTCCGTCTGCGCAGTCATTGCACCCCGTTTGTGTACACCACTCTTGTTAGGACTTCCGTTCCTTACACATAATCAGCTCATCGTCGATCACACTCTCCGTACATGTATTAATAAAGATACTGGTTATGACTTGTTGAATCCTCCAACTCCCGTCCCAGCTCCTGTCCCCTCACCAGTAACCCCTACTGTTCAGGCTGTCAAACAACTTAAGGGTGCAGTCCTTGCAGAGCTACATAGCGTTCTGCCTGTGTATCGTGAACTTGTGGAGGTGGTGTCCACCCCGGTATGTGGGGTGGATGTTATTGGCATGGTACAGCATCGCATTGAGGTCCTCACAGCTGCTGAGGAGCTGACAATGCACGATGCATGACTCAAGGTTGAGTTTGCTGATCACTTCCCAAGTGACATCCCACCCACGGATGCCCAGCCTGATGATGTACTCTTCTGGGTCCAGCCCAAGGACGCCAACAAGGTGATCCAGCTTCGGTCATACGATTGTCCAAAGAAGTATCGCAAAGCATGGAAAACATTACTACAACAACATCTGGATGCAGGGCATTTACGGCCTTCCAATAGTACTCACTCTTCACCCATGTTCATTATTCCAAAGGCAGATCCTGCCGCATTGCCACGCTGGGTCAACGATTTTTGACAACTCAATCTGAACATGATCCCTGATAACCACCCATTACCCCACATCGATGAGATCCTTCGTGATTGTGCTAAAGGCAGGTATTTTGCGAAACTGGTTATAACCAATGCCTTCTTTCAGACCAAGGTTCATCCAGACGACATTAAATGGTTAGCCATGCACACACCTTGGGGCCTGTACGAGTGGACTGTCATGCCTATGGGGGTGCAGAATGCCCCTGTGGTTCATCAGTGTCAGATGTCTGCTGCCCTCCATCATCTAATCAGTCGCATTTGCCACGTGTATCTCGATGACATTATTATCTGGTCGCAGATGCTCGAGGAACATGAACGCAACGTCCATGCAGTCCTCCAGGCTCTCCGTGATGCTAAGTTATATTGTTCTCTTAAGAAGACTCAGTTGTTTTGTACTGAAGTTCTGTTTCTTGGCCATCGCATCTCTGCTCATGGAATCGAGCCTGACTCTTCCAAGATCGCAAGGATCCTTGATTGGCTGGTACCACGATCAGTTACAGACGTGTGGGCCTTCCTGGGCCTTGTTTGTTACATTGCAGATCATCTTCCCAATCTTGCAGAGCACACGTGTGTTCTGAACGCATTGACAACCAAGGCCACGGAACTCAAGTTCCCTGTCTGGAATGATGACCATCAGCAGGCCTTCCAGGCCATCAAAGATCTCGTGGTCAGTCCCCACTGTTTGACAACAATTGATCATGATAATCCAGGTGACAACCACATTTTCCTTACATGCAATGCCTCAGACTTCCGAACTGGGGCAATTCTCTCTTGGGGACCCACTTGGGAGACGGCTCGGCCAGTTGCTTTTGATTCCACTCCCCTTCGCAGTGCTGAACTCAATTACCCTGTGCACAAGCCCTGCCTCATGTACGTTTCCATATTATGAACACCATTAGCAATAGTACAGGGTTCTCCCCATTTCAGCTCCACCTTGGTTGTTCTCCATGTCTCTTACCCCCCATCTCCACTTTGGACACTGAGACAACAGAACATGCAGACGCTGCTGCCTTTTTGGCTCATCTGGAGATGGACATCCTCGAAGCGCATGACAACTTACTCGTGGCAAAGGTGGCTCAAGCTCATGCGGCTAATCGATGCCACGTCCCCGACCCAAGGTTTTCGGTCAGGGACAAGGTTTGGCTGTCTACGAAACATCGTTGTCATGAATATCTTACTAATGGAACAAATTGTGTAGCCAAGTTTATGCCACGGTATGATGGCCCCTACACCATCTTGTCGGCTTTGCCCGAAACCTCCTATGTCTTAGACATGCCTTGTGCAGCCAACGCATGCACCATGTTCCATGTCAGTCAACTACACACCTTCGTGCCTAATGATACAACACTCTTCCCCTCTCACGAGCTACCTCGCCCGGGCCCTGTGGTCACAGAGAATGGTCAGTTGGAGAACTTGATTGAGCAGATCTTGGATGAGAAGCGGGTTGGGAGGATGAAGAAGTATTTGGTGTAGTGGTTAGGGTATGGACTGGAGGATGATGAGTGGTTGACGAAGAAGGATCTGGAGGATTGCGAGGCATTAGATGTTTGGGAAAGGGAACACCCACCGTAGGGCATTGAGGTTGACAAAGAACAGGTTGATGAAGAAGATGTTGAGGTTGACGAAGAAGATGCTGAAGAAGATGCAGGGTTCACACCCACTCACGCTCCCTCTCCCCCTGGTTGCCTTTTTTTATGGGCTGGGAGGGTGTAAGCATTCACTTACCTTACCACTTACTGCTTGCCACTCGCACGCCATATGCACTGTTCATGCTATCGCTTCACATTGTCACATCTCCTATTCCCTCAGTTGTGCCCTTGTCTGGGCATGCAGATCCCTCCTGCTGTGTTGCACTGTTTGGACCCTGGGGGTATATATACTGGTGCTGCATGTATGCACAGGTCATCTCTTCTTTTCTCTCTTTCCTCTCACTTGCTCTGTTGAGCATCTTGTATCAGCATATATGCTTGATTTTCTAATCCCCACACACCTGTCCACATTCTGTCGTCGTTGTGAGCCGTTCTGAGTGTACTCACCCCACAGTGGTGAGTTCCAGCAGTGTGGCATAAATCGATTGCCTCGTTCAAGTCATCAATTTTACCATCTTCTTTGAATCTCTCGAAGAGGGCATGTGCAACGTCCTGGCCATCTTGCCCTAGATGATAGTGTTCCGACTCTTCTCATTTGCAGGAAATGTCGCCTGTTGAAGATGTTGAAGAGGCTTCCCTTTTCGTAGTAGCGGCCAGGTTTAAATTTGCTATTATTTCTTGCATTGGAGTAAATGCAGTTCAAGCACTGAATTGCTACCACTTTGATAAATAAAGCGCTCGACTGCAGAGGATACAGGAGGTGGAAAGTCAGTGGTTCTGCCTTTGTGCTAGGTTTGGTGATCAGCTGTAACAAGACAGGAAAGGTTGAACTATACGTTATCCTTGGAACTAGCAAACGCACAAGGTGAGCAATCGTGATTGTCAATTAAGTGCTTCTCAAATCGGTAAGGCTACACACAGGTAAATGCATATAGTGCAATGACAGACCAATAGGATCCTCACCGATAGGTGTGAATTCTCTGGAAAGGCCTGAGTAAATTTGGCTATGGTCCTCTGAGTAGCAGACAAGTTGGAGACAGGCTCAGAGAAGTTCACCTGTGTGTGGGACTTGGGAGAGGGCAGGTGATTAGGGAAGCACAGGCCACACTTGTACAGGCTTGTCAATGTGGCCTAGGACACTAAACACAACATCAGTAAATCACTTTGAGCTGTGGAGCTCTCCACAGTGCTCCATAATACACAGAGTCCCCTAGCTAGGTCCAGGCTGGACAGATGCACCCAACAACACTTTTTGCTATGGCTAGTTGCCTGTTACTATGGAATGGTCACATTGTCATGGAACTTTGTCCAGTATCTTACTTACTATGGATTGCTATGGAACTTTCATGCTTAGATATCACTGTACAAAACTGGCCAGACTGTATTCTCCTTGGGGTGTTGTCCAGTACTCCCCATCTCAATATTTACTTCGCAAACATGTGATCACTCCACAACTAGGAACAGTTCACAGCAGGTATGACAGGAACAGGAGCATTGGCATCAATTGTGTACTATGTGTAATGACAGGTATGACAGGACTAGGTATTATGAAATCAATCAAGGACTGCCTGAATGTGCTGGTACCTCTCTACATTTGAATCAACCTCTTGCAGTGCAGCCCTGATATGAGGAGTCAGTGCAAGCACATCAGCCACCCCAGTACTTACCATCCTTCCTTTGCCCACTGAGAAAGCTGATCACACTGTTAGATTTGGCAAGTTGCTCATAGCCTTCGTTCACTAATTGATGCTACTTTTCCTTACCATGGGAAACACTTCCTGTTTACGGGTCTACAAGACCACTGTACTTAGTTGTTTCGAGCGCTGACAATACAGCGTGGTAATTTTTGGTTCATTGTCTCCAAATGTTTCATATGTATAATTAACTGTACAAGCACTCACGCTATGACCGTGCTTGTAGTTTCAATACCAGGTTCAACACCCGTGTCTCACCCTTTTGTTTCGTACAGCATATTTAACTCATTACTGTAGTAACACCACCTCAGACGTTTGCCACTCGTGCACTCGACTGAGGTGGGTATAGTGTTTTGTTCCCATGTTTGTGTACTTCACGCTCACATCGTTACCTTAGATCTTGCTATAGGTAATGCGAATACAGATGTTTGCCGCTCACGCACTCGACTGAGATCTTGCTATAGATTTCTGTGACACATAACCTCACACTGTGATAGGGATTATGAAGGATGTTGTTCAGCACCTTCATCATGCATCAGGAAAATAACACTTTACTATTTTTGACTTTTTGTGACTAATGTGACTTTTTGGGAAGGAATCTACTATCATTACCCATGTCCTGCAAGCATGGCTGTACTTTTCTTGCTGATTTTGGTCTTTTTCAAACCACCTAATTCATAGCTTTCAGTAGATACCACATACATTCAAATTGATGGAGGTTCCAAAGAGATATTGTGATTTTTCTCTCAGACAGTGTGCATCACACCAATGGCTCAATATCTCTGAATTTTCAGACATTTTCTAGTCTTCTTGGCTTAGATATATCATCACTTAGTTGTCTCAATAGATTCTGTTCTCTTTTCATTCTTCAAAATGCTGTATATGGTCAAAAAAAAGTACAGATAGTAGGTTCCTTCCCAAAGTCACAAATAGCTACAATAGTCACAAAAAAGTCAAAAAAAGACACAAAAAGGTCAAAAATAGTAAAGTGTTAATTTCCTGATGTGCCATGGAAAATGGAATTGTAAGCCTTGCTAGAGAATTGAGGCATCATCTTTCCTGTGCCATTCTTTGCAAATCTGTCCAACACACAATGATACTGTGAGAAATGTTTGAGTTGCTGTGACTTGGGGTGTAAAATAACTCACTGCAGCTGCAATGAGAGCCAGACAGGAAAGGGGAACTGAATTTTTGAAGGACTCAGGACGCTTATCTGTGATTCAATAGGTCCCAGTATAGTAGAATTGTATGACAGCTTCCTTGAGGGCAGGGTGAGCGAAATTCCTGGTTTTTCCCTGATAAACCAATCTGTTAGTAGTGCAGACAATGAACCATGTGAATGTACATTCTTGTCAAAACTGTCTTGCAGGAAAAGTGAGTTGTCAAGGAGCTTTGTGGCAGCAGTCTCTATCCATTGTACATGAACCCATGGTGCAACATCAGAAGGAGGGATAAGATTGAATGTGGATGGCATGGTTGCCAGCATAACTGACTTCAATTCCAAACACCAGGTAGATATATCACCAAGGAACTACTAGTGGTATGTCAGTAGCTGTAACCGAAAGATGGGACTACTTATGAGGCATGTCATATCTTGCTTGTGGTCAGGCCAGTAACCTATAAAGTTAGGATAACAAGACATGCATAAAGTGAAAATATTGTTACTCACCATCTTCAAATTGCACACCATGTTGATTCTGCTCAATGACAACAGTGACAAGCACCTCTGTTATGGAGAGGTTGAGGTCATGAGATTTTGATGGGAACAGGTTAGAAAGTGCATGTGCAGCCCTGCATTCTCACTTAGTGTCTTTGAGACAGTCCTTCCATACTGCCTTGTAAAATCTCAGTTGTGAAGGCAATGGGCCCTCATCCTTAGCTTTCTTGGAGTTATGAGGGGCTCTGGTGTGCTGAGATACTTCATTGACTGAGTCATGTGCAAGGGTCAGAAGATCACAATTGGGAACAGAAGGACAGCCATTAGTGTGATGGTGGTGTTCAAGAACATTGATGAGAGTGCCATGTTGGGAACCCTAAAATAACAATCTGAATGAATAAAGCTAGCAGGAATGGCATTTTCATACCTCTGGCTGAGCCTTGTCCTTGGATTGTAAGCTTCACAGAGCCACATCATCATCCTTGTCATGTGAGTACTGAAACTTGTGGTCAGGGGGTAAGGAATTGTGGTGAATAGGATTGCTTGTCATTGTTTCTTGGGAGAAGCCTAACAAAGAATGTTGAGCCAATACCATAATAACCTCTGACACATACCAGGATGAGTTGATTGCCTAAGATTCATTGCACCCCATCCAAATGCATTGTCCTCATCTTTGTCAGACTCATTGCTGGAGACCTCACCAGCCTCTGCATCTGATGGGTTATTATTCAAGGACTCTGACTCCTCTTCTGAGGAGCCCTCTGATGACAGCTTCTCCAAACTCTTGTGGCAAACATCAGCAGTTGCCAAAGTTTGTCTCAATGAGAGCAAGTTATCAAGGGAGGGGTCAATACAAGAGTTGGGGTTGGTAGCAGGCAGCTGGTGGGGGATAAACTGAGACTGGTAGTTGGGCTGGGGTGTTTGTGGACAAGATGTATTACTGGGAACTTGGTCACCCTGAATTGCAGTGATATAAGGATTATTGAGCACTTGAAGGTCAGGTTCCATCCTGGGAGGCATGATATGACCTGGCTGTTGAGCCAGAACACTGAAACCAAAGCAATGGGAGTCTGTGGGGCACTGATGGAAGATAGGTGTTGCTACTGCTGATGAAGACTGAGGGACAGGATTCTGAAATGAACATTGTATATCAGTATGAAAAGACACTCACCAGAGGCATATCAGCTGGGCTAGGACCATTCACAATGGGAGGTGCATAGGGTGGTGGGGCAACATTGGACTTTGCAAGCAGTTAGCTTGATATTTGCAAATAACTAGAACTGACCTTCAGTTTTGCATTCTGGCCAGCACTGCAGCCCCCACCCTTTTCCCACTGAGTGGGTGGAGGTGCAAGAGGATTTACAACAGAATTGTTGGGGAGATCCATTGACTTTTGTGGCCATGTAGCTTGGCCTTCAAGGGCAGTACCAATCCACTCCAATTGCTTGGCCATTCCACCTGAACCCACCCTTGCCCTTCCACTATGATGGAGTCCTGCTGTGGCAACAGACTGAGACTCTTTGAGATTGATGGGTGGGCTTCCTAGATGCTGGTTTTTTGCAGGTCGAGTGCTTCCATTGGCCTCTGGTCATCATTTGGCTTTTTTGCTATCCTTCTTTTTTGGCAGGATTGTTCCAGATTGGGTGGACATCTGAAGGTACAAGCAGTTAAGCAGAGAACAGTATAAGATGGAAGCCTGGGGACCATGACAAAATGACATCTTGTGAATCTATATAAACATTGACAGGTTCATTGCAAGATGTAAAACAAAATGATGCATGGAGATGGTTACCTGCTGAAAATGAATTGAAACACTTTACACATAATGCACAGAACATGAACTAAACATAAAATTCATGCTAAGACTACATGCCTTTGAAGTGTTTATTGGGTATAGGAGGGTTATCCATGCTCCTTACCTCTTCACAAAGGTGTTTAGAAGACATAATTGCCAAAGACATAACATCCATATTGTTCTCCTGACTTGGACACATGCTTGAATTAAGCACTTTGTGCTGGGTGATGATCTACTGGAATGCATTCATCATCTCCAGTGGTTTCTCATATGGAATGCTGGCCAAGAAATGATCAAAAAGGGAGATAACATCAGAGAACTGCACTGCAGTTCCACTCAGCAGGGACTGCCCAAGCAATATGTGCCACTTGTTAGCCAGAGGGATTAGATCTTGAAAATATTGTGAGACCTTGGAATCCAGCCTCAATTTGGACAGGTCATTAAGGAATGTGAACTTGGCACATCTAGTGATTTTGAGATCTTTGGCTGCCTTTTCACTCCACAAGCCAAGAAGTGTCTTTTCATGGCTGATATCTTGACACTCATGGTCAAGTGGCCCATCATAAAGGATGAGGATCCAGATGAAAATGTAGAACAGGGATTCGATATCATCTGCAAATGTATGGTGTATAGTAGTAGGGTGATCAATGAATACATGGGTGAGAGAGGCACTTTTCTGGATCGATGGGACATTAGTCTTTCCACTTTTAGTGATGGCTTCCTTGAGTTGGCAAAGGATATTCACTGAAAGGAAGGGGACTGTCCCCTTTGTGTACTATCAGCTTCAAGTTCCAAAATGTTTTGTGTAGTACTTACTGTGCCACCCAAGTCATATTCCCCCTGTAACATGACCTGTACAGTACATTCCCAGTCGAGGAGAAAGCCATGTGACCCATTTGTGAAGTCCTCAATCATCGTATTGTTGATGCTACAATCTCAATGGAGGACACCCCTTTCGAGAGCCTGCTGTTGGACTGTTAAAGCAATTAGTATTGATATTACAAGTGGAAGAGGAAACGTACCTTGTAAAATATCTTGGATGCATGAAATGAGTTCCTTTTTTGTCTTGAACATTACCATTGGCCTTGCACATGGCTTCATAGCCAATTGCATGTGAGTTCTCCAAGACTTCATGCACAATCACCACTTCTCATCACAATATCATTCAGTTTTATCAACAATGCCTGGCTTGACCTTGACGACCCAGTAGTGTTGCAACTTGGGAACTCTGTCAATGTCCTGGACCAGCTTCATCATGTTGACTTCATGCAGGGCTGTCCTCTGCTCTGACTCCTCCACCCAATAATCCTTAATGACATAGTATTCCCCATTGTAGCATGTGAGGTAACAAACAGTACCCCTTCCTAGAAAGCCTGTGCTCGAGAATAATACATTGAGCACCTCATAGAAGATCTTGTTTACTTGGATCCTCCTGATTGCTGAGATGTGTTTGGGTGATGTGGGAGCCAGGAGTGAGTTTGCACTGGGGAGGATGCCTGACTCCAAGTGAAGAGAAGGCATTGTAGGAGAGGGGAAAGGGGAGAGAGGTATTCCAAGTGCTGTGCATTTGCAGCTGTGTGCAGGATGGGGGGATATCTCTATGGTCAAATTGAAGCCAAGGGTTGAGCAGGAGCTGAATGCAATGGCACATACAATGTATATGAAGACTTCTGCATCAGTGTGGATATTGGATAGAGGGTGAGATTGCACCACCAGAGTGGTCATAAAAGCGAAGTCAAAGAAGTTTGCTATCAGTAATTGATAATCCGAGATCATAGCACCTCCAGGGCTGGCCAATGAGGGTTAGATATGCCTTAGTGTCCATCAACTTCCCAAGGCAGGATGCTGGCTTGAAAGACTCCTTTGAGTACTCAGCAATGACTTTGGGACTTAACCACATAATCTTGTCAAGGGATACTGGGGTGTTATTGACAAGGATGAGGTCAGGCTTTCAGGAATAACCTGTAGAACCTTGCAAGCTGGTTCTGCTCCAGTCTACCATCCATTGACACTGGGGTTTGCTGGATAGACTGGGCATCATGGATTTGGCAGCAGTTCCAATAGCATTGAGAAACAGAGCAACTTGCTTTTCAATGCAGAGCTTTTCCAATTCTACTGGCAGCTCTGAGGCAAGTGGCCTGGGTTGCTCAGGAGGTGAATCAGAGCCTGGGGGTGGATGAAGCTCCCAGTTCCAGTGCTTTCTATTGTCATCATATAGGCTGACCAGGCTGTCCTCTGACAAGCCACCCTGGTTGAAGGAGGCAGAATAGCTACAGACACATGCAGGAATTGTTTTCAGAGGAACAATCAGGGACCTGGGAGCTATGGAGGTGAATGTATTTTTGAAGGACTCAAAGATAATATTTGTAACATAACTGAGGCTCTGAGGAGAGCTAACTTGTATCTGTGGTTCATGGATGATGGTGCCCTCAAGTTCTGAAGCAGTGAACTTGTCCATAACATGAACCATGTGGCCATGTTTGGGCAGGGGGAGAGAACTGTGACAGTTGCAGGACTTGGTCACACTAATAAGAGTGTTTCCATCAAAAGGTCTCAAGCATTGTTCATCAGAACTGGCCAAGGGTCTCTCAATAAAAACTGCCCCCTCCTACCTACTACATGAGTCTTTATATACCTACATACACAAAGGACTGTACTAAAGAGGAAGTATCAAGGCTGACATATTGTACTTGGTTCTGTTGTCATATCCACAGGAGTGCAGGTCGTTACATCCACCCTCCTGATCTTCTGGGGAGATCAAATGGTCATGCTCGATATGACTAAGATCGAGTTTGTGAGGATGAGATAGAGCAGTAGGATAATGATGAATTTCGTACCTGGACTGAGGCCAGTGCTAGCATCACCACCTGTGGGAACAGGTTCAGCATTGATGATTGTGTTGAGCAGTTCATCCAGGGTTCCAGGCTCCTTACGAACTGAAGTAGTGGGGTTGGTGGCGCTCTCACTGCGTCTGTCTCTGCAGACTGTCATGCCCGGGATGATATGCTGAATGCCAATAGCAGGAGTGGGGTGAAGTTGCATCAAGCCTTGGTAGATGGCAGGTCATTGGTAGGGAGTGAATTGCATTGTCATGTTGTGGGTATTGTCACCCTTATGAGGAGTAGTGTGGACATTCCATGGGTGTCCCCTTTGTGGCCTGCTGTTAGTATGTACAGTTGTAGTGGTGCTGGTTTGAGCTCTGGTGTCAGCTTTGAACCAATCAAAGATCATCCCAGAGAGGGAGTTCCCTCTGTTGTGGCGGTCTTGGTGACTGAATGCTCCATGTCCCCAAGGACAAAGGGGCTTGCAAATGAACCCATCTGGTAGACCCCATGTAGTCCATTTAGTCACAACATATAGGTAGCCTACATGCCAAAATGCCAACACTTATATAAACCCTGTGACAGTGTGAGTCAAAGTGAGGTTCAGTGGTGAAAACCAACCAAAACCAACACAAAAGACAATGAAAGCGAGTGGTGGTGTGCCTATGTGGTACCTAGATGGTAGAACCTGTTCTTTGGGAGGGTTTTTGCAAGCTACAACACTCAAAGATGAGTGCTGAGGGTTGGGGGTGCTCCTGATGAAGAGGGAGCAAGAATGTGATAGAAAGCGATAGGGTAGACTGCTGTCAGCCTACAGAAGGATGGATGGTGACTTAATTCGATGTCCTAAGCTGTACTGAGCTCAGGGAGGGCTTGGAGCGAAGTATATGGATGATAGATGATGATAAGCGAAGTAGATGATAGCTAGACCCTTAATAAAGTCTCAACTATCGAAGCTGATGAATGATTTACTGAGAGATGATAAATTGCGAGCAAGAGGGGCTCTCTGATGTCTTCTCTTTTTTTTTTGCTACCTAAGTACAGTGACTTATATACAGTACAGGGGCATTGCCTATGGAAAACAAGGTGCAAACACTTGGTAAGTGATTGGTAACTGATGAGTAAGGAATGTAAGCGATGGGTAATCGTCTTGGAAAGCATTGGTAAGCATTGGTAAGGATAAGTAAGCCAAAAAGCGAAGAATCAGTAAGCAAAGTCAAAAGATTGGTAAGTATTGGCAATAGGTGAGTCAAAGACAGTCAGAATGTCACAGTATGAGTCAAGCAATGTCAGGAACTGGGAAAGTGCACTGGAATCACATTAGGGGGAGGCCGTGCATGTCACATCTCAAAGAGATCACTTCTAGGCCAAAGTGGGATGACAGAGAGGCAGCGCTGATCTGATGCTGATATAGTACATCCAAAAGTGGACAGGGTGAGTCAGATGTCAACAGGGGTCAAGCTTTGGGGGTCTGTGGGGTGACAGGAGCATAGGGGATCGCAACTTTCCCCCCCAAACCATCCTCTCAGTGAAGCAAATAAAAACTTCATGAATGAGGCTCTGTTGGAAGAGAGGATGAAGGGGGAGCGTCTTCTGCTGTATCTTGCAACAAGGAGACAAGATGTGCATCATACTTGTCATGGATGCGATCAGGGAGAGTGGAGAACAGTAGATTATACTGTAGCTGTTGCAATTTTGGAAGAATGACGGACGAGACTGGTATGAAGACATTGCAGGGGGCAGGGAGGAAGGATCCATATGCTTCTTGGACCAGAGAGACTGAAATGACCACATAAGACCTTTCCAAGCGAATGACAGACCTGAGGCGACCAAAGAACGTCCTCCTGGAGGTCATACTGACAAAAAGAACATGCTGTCCAAGCTGGATGGGCTGAGAGGGGGCAGATGAGGGTGGGATGTACCAGGATGCTTCAGGACGGAAGCTGGTAGGAACTCCTGGTAGATATATGTAGCCATGGTCCCTAGCAAAGGGGACAAGTGAAATGACTGATGTGGAGGCAGCCATATCAGAAGAATTAGCAAAATGAGCATCTTTTGGAGGGAGTGCTGTAGAAACGTGTGGAGTGCACAAATCCTTTCCAATCTTGGAAGGTAGGATTGCATGGCTGAGCACTACAAGCGAGTGTGGGAATGGTTTCAGTGTCTGCAGAACTGGTGGAGATACATTGAAAACTGGAATGCCGTACATGGGCGCTTAAGAATTTTATTGGCACTTAACCTGCCTCCTCTTTTTTCTTTGGCATTGACAACTTGTTCTTGTGCGAGGGATGACTGCCGACATTGCTGGCTGTCCTTCTTCGCATGAGGGCTATGGTCTTCACCTCCATTCATCAGCTACATCCATGTCCACCTCACCAAACACCTTTGGTGTGTGACATCATCATGAACCTTCAGTATAGAAATTCCATTGTCATTGACATATCTCCACCATGAGTGAATACTGGCCTGCAGAATTCCATCATAGCATGATACACTACCATGGAAGGTTTACTCACCCATGTCTTGTCCCAGTCCTCCACCCATGCATAGATGGTCTCCAAACTCTCCTCTGGCTGTGGCACCACCTCAATCAGGTCCCAGACATGCCCTAGAGCTGCAGTGAGCACTGTGGTTGCCTGGTCCCTCATGCTGTGTCACAAATTTCTTGGGCACGTGATAAGAACCTTATAATACATGTTAAGGGTGGCTGTTCACACTTCCGTTATAAGCCATGCCAATGCCACCCATGTGTCATTGAAAGATTGCCAAAAATGGGTATTTGTACATAATATTTTACACATTTGCACTATATCTTAGATAAAATATCACATATTTGCTATAATCTAGCCAAACCTGACCATTATAATGGCAAGTGGTCCATTACATGCTGCTTACAATGGGGGCACGTGACAATGGACCAAATAAATTTGCAACATGAACATGGGACACATGTCATTGATGGAGTAAGCTTGCATGGTAGTTGGCAAAGGAAGTGAGAATCTGCGAGTGGGATGGTGGGGTAACAAGGGTGAATCTGATGATGAGACAGTTTCTGGGCAAGTTTTTTTAATTCCACAGCACTGTTGCTGACACATTATCTATGTGCAGAGTTTTTACTCACACAAGGTGCATGGCCAAACACAAGCCATCTTTGTTTACATCACCTGCTGGATCTCTGCTGCCCTTCTGTTGCAACTCAATGACCTCTGACCAAGGACAGTCAGCATTCAAAGACCATAGGAGGTGTAGGGAGTGGTATACTCCCTGAGGCTGAAATAGGGATGCCAACACCAAAATTCTGCCATTACCAAAGTTGACCCCTATCAGAGTTCCATGTCTGTCATCTTCAGAATTATTGCATCAGCCTCATGCATCAGCCTTGTGCACCACCTCACCTGTCAAACCTTTGGGGCTCCCCTGTCCATCAATAACACACACCAGTCATCATCCCAGAATTCCATGTCAACATCAACCTGACATATGTCTGTCTGGAATTCCACAGTTGTGTCCCCCCAACCTTTGCCTCACCACATAGCTGGGAAATCACACAGATCATCAGTAAAAAACTCCAGTTACCCCTCTCATTCCTTTCCTGCAAATCTTTCTCCGCAATGCAAGAACCCCTTTGCATCTATGGCCTCTATCCTTCATGTTCCACTCCACAGTATGATGCACACTTATCCTGTTGGAAGATACCCACCCTTTCCCATTTGTTTTTCTTTTCCTCAGTTACTACTGTTCAGTTTGATTTCACACAATTCTGTATGGCTTTGACATCTGACACATCACCCTCTTTTTTTTTTTTTGGAATTTTGCTTTACCTGCCCCACATTTCTCTGATCAGTACCTTACTATCCATGTACTATATAATTCTGCCTCAGCAACAAAGAAAAAGGAATCATCATTTTTTGGGACTCAAAATCTGTGTCATATGCATGTCTAAAGTGTACAAAGTGTCCTTGCATCCTCTTTGTCTTCTGCATATCTGTGTCTTTGATCTGCTATTACCTTGTCTCCCCTCCTGTGTGCCTAATTCATCTCAGAATTATTTTGTCAGGCCAAGATTGACACTCAGAATTTTGAAAAGCAAGTCTACTTGTACCCAATTTGCCTACATCTCTGCAGAATTAAATTCCATGCCCCACATTTGACTCCTTGACCGACTCTACCATTGTATTCTATGTCTCCTTCCTACTCAGCACCCCTTGGGTCAAGCCTAGGGATTTCCCCCACAGCTTTCCCCTATTCACACACTACCCAGAGGTAGTGTCCCACACCAGTCCTTATCTGATCCCTATCCCCCCTCTGGGACTTCAAAGGTCATCCCAAGCCAGAAAAATGCCTATTCAAGATGACAATCAATGCTATTTTGTCAATGCATATCAAAAACATAGCTTACCATCTGTGGAGGATGCAGGGGCAGAGGGTGAGGGTGCTGAGACAGAGGTGAGTGCACAAGAAGGTGTGGCAATGGTGAGGCAGAGTGGTGATGACCCAGAAAGGGAAGAAGTTGCTGCATACCAAACAAGCACAATCTGCGACAATGAGCCTATGATGTTCACAGATGTGATGCATCACACTGATGCTGACTGCTGGTATGCAGTGATGGCCAATGAATTAGCAACATTTCGCACTATAGGATTGTATGAGGAGGTACTGCATCCACCTGACAGAAAGATTATAGGTTCAAAGTGGGTCTACAAGATAAAGCAAAGCCCTACAGGTGACATTGATAAATACAAAGCCCAACTTGTCACAAAGGGATTCACACAGGTCCATGGAATTGATTATACAGAGATATTTGTGCCTGTAGCTAAGTTTTCTACCATCAGAACCCTACTTGCCCTTGCTGCTAAGTTCAATCTGGAGATCCACCAGATGGATGTAAAGTCCACCTTTCTAAATGGCAAACTTGATGAGGAAATATACCTCCATCCTCCTCCTGGCTTCTGAGACTCAAGTGGCATCATTTGGTGTCTCTATTGCATGCTCTACAGACTAAAACAGGCTCCAAAAGCTTGGTACAATCGACTACAAGAAGTCTTTGAATCTCTCAGATTCACATGCAGTGACACTGATCACAGTCTTTTCTACAAAGATGAAAATGGCATTTTAATTATAGTTGCTGTCTACATTGACAACAAACTGATCCTCTCGAAGAGCTGTGAGGCCATTGACCACCTCAAAGTCCAATTATCAACCAAGTATGACCTCTCTGACTTAGGTGAGGCTCGGTGGATCCTCAGTATGGAGACTATATGAGATCATGACAAGGGAACCATAGAATTGTCTCAGTGTCACTATATAGAGCTCATTCTTGAGTGTATGGGCATGCAGGATGGCCATGCAGTGTCCATGCCCATTGAGGAGAACTTAAAATCAGAGAAACTTGATGCTCCTGCCTATGACCTACAAGCATATTGAAATGCTCTTGGAGCATTGATGTATGCTATGCTGGCTACCTGGCCAGATCTCACATTTGCTGTGGGCATGCTTAGCAGGCATGTGGCTCCCCTGGCAACCAACACTGGACCACACTCAAATGTGTTTACAGATACCTTTGAAAAACTGTTGATGTGCATTTACAGTACACAAGAGACTCTGCAAGTTCTCTTGGAGGCTATGCTGATGCTGACTGGGCTGCAGATGTAAATGACTGTCATTCTGTAACCGGCTACATCTTTACTCTGTCCAGTGGAGCAGTTAGCTGGTCATCCAAGAAACAGACCTCCATTGCTTTGTCTAGCATGGAAGCTGAGTACATGGCAGTCTTGGCAGCTGCAGAAGAAATACTTTGGCTACAAATGCTACTATGTGAACTAGATATGGATATGACTGCACAGCCCACTTCCCTCCTGGTCAACAATCAGTCTGCAATAGCCCTGACAAGCAATGCAATGTTCCACAACCACACAAAGCACATAGCTATTCATCATCATTTTATCTGCAAGAAGGTTGAAGATAGAGAAGTGGATGTCAAGTACATCTCTACAAATGAGCAGATCACCAATGTTCTCACCAAGGGACTGTCATGTGAGAAGAATGAATGCTTTTCTCTTGGTATGGGAATTATTTTCTAAAGACTTGCTACACTGAGGGGGTGTGTTGGAACATGTGTCCCCTATGTTTATTTGCTTACAGCATACAAGCTTACATAATAATTCTTCGTGCTTAGGCAGTTAGTTTTTCCTCATGCACCTCAGTCTTCTTACCACAGAAGCCTGAGGTATGTTTACTATATTAACCCTACAGCTACCTTACTGATACACTACCATAGACCTTCTTTATAGGTTAGCTTGTTAATATTTAAGTCTTCTTACCACAGAAACCTGAGACCTTCTTTATAGTCTTAATTCCAGCCTCCTCTTAAGAAAAAAGAAATGTATACCAAATGATATGAGCAAATGAGTATAATTTCTGTTTGAGTCTTGTGTGCATAGAGTCATGAGGGCACACATTGTGGCTGTGCTGCCACATTGTTCCCATTTTGGTAATACACAACTTGCATGCACATTGTGCCTTTGCCACATCACTGTGTGAGTGCTGTACAATGTTCATGTGGGCTGTTGATGGCACACCTCAGTATAGAACACACCCCCTGCCATAGATAGGCATTAGCAATGTCCAGAGGGTTCTTGGGGGGTTGTGAGAGCTTCTGTAAGGTAACTTGAGTTGCCTTGAGGGTGACATTGGTGGCATGGTGCATGCTTCGGCTCACACAGGCTTTACTGACATCTTGCCAGTCTAATTTGATCTTCCTACATCGATGTTAAGTCCTGTAGGGTATCCAGTTGTGCACAATGAGGTCTGGAGGCAGTTCAGGTGGTGCAGGTAAATGATTCAGCCATTCTACCTCTCATTTTTGAGTGTACTGACTTCTCTTGTCAGCTAGCAACCCCTTCTCTGCTCTATATGAGCAGACAGCATGGCTGCTCATTGCACCATTGTTTGCACTGCTGTAGCACTTGTCATTGGCTTCCTTTGGCCGAAATTCCACATTTGGTGAGTCACCTCATATCTCGGCCATTCAAGTGCTGATTGCTCTTATCTCCAGCTTTGTTGATGCTCTCCCACCATCTCAACTATGCTCCCAGTGGGAGGTACCCTCACTGTCTTCACCTACACCCCTAGTCTCATCAATTGAGACTTTCCATGTGTGCTGACCTTCATAGGTCTCTCATCACATTGCTTGCATGTGATCTTGTTCAGGCTGGGGCCACTTGGCCTCTTGAGGGTCCTGGAGCCATTTTGGCTCATTAGCAGGCACATTCAGGTTCAGAGGGGTCATTTGCACTTCATGAGGATGTGGTAAGGTGACTTCTCCATTATCAAATGTTTGTGCTTGTGCTAACTTGCATTCTGTGTTCATAGTACCAAAGACTTGGCCAGGACATTGAGTGGACAAATTTGAGCATGCAACATGGGCACTCAGAGGGTCAGGTATGTCAGCAATCAGACCACTGCATGTCTGGATACACTGATCATGTTCAACAGGCATTTGTAGTGTAGTTTCAATGATGCAACTGTCCTTGAGATTTGTAGAATTAATTGCAAGATCAAAAGTCTCACTGCTGGGTTTGAATAGATGTAGATCCCTTGTCATGTTGACAAGTTGACCACATGTGCCTATAGTGCTGGTCTTGTCTATATGGCTGTTTGACACTTCTGGGTTTGTGTCTTCAGGTTCATCCATCTGGCCACTGCCTGCTTTGCATGGCACTACCTCCATCTCCAGCTCCAAAGGCCCATTTAGGGCTCATTCAACCTCCAGTGTAGGTACATCAATGCTTGAGGCTTTGACTTGTATGTGCTGACTAGGTGTGACTGCTACAGGCTTGGACAACAGCTGCATGTTGTCCCTTTCACCATTGAGGGTGGCCAATAGGTCAAGGAGGATATTTTGTGGAGTTGCACTAGTTTTCTCTAGTGCAAGTGAAGGTTTGTGCCAGTCATCACTTTGCACAGCATCTTCAACTGCCCTCCAGCTTGCAGGCCTTGGGATCGAGCCATAGCAAGACTCAAGGTAAGTGAACATCTCATGCACAGACTCTAAATGCATTATGCTGCAGAGGATTGAGTTGGGTAGTCCACATATAATGAGATGGGAGGCAAAGCTGTTGCACTGCTGCCAGGCACTGTCAGCAGCTTTCCAGGCTGCAACCTGTTCTCATTCCTTGTCAGTACATGGTGCCCATCCTTGGCCACATCCTTCCAGCTCAATTGGATTAGTAGGTCATGTTTCAGACCCATTTAGGAACCCTATCAAGCCTTCTTTGTCAACTGCCTGCAGAACCACTCCCCATAGTGGTTCCAGTTGTGGCCATTGTGTGTGAGCTCAGGTATGTCCATAATATAGATTCCAGTAGCTTTGAGAGTAGTAGAGAGGATGTGAGTAGTCATAATTCCTGTATGAGACTTCAAGTCTCTACAAGTCAAGGTCTTTCCTATATGAAAATTTTCACTGCACTAGGCAGGGCTCATAACCTGTAGAAATATCTGTAGGCTACCTCAGTAGTGAACAAACTACTGATATATTAGATATACCTGTAGGCTACCACAGGATGTCAGTATGGTAGAATACTTGTAATATGAATGGACTTACCCTCAGTAGTGAACAAACTACTGAGGGAATACTAGTAGAAAATACTACAAGTAGGTGCGCTATTTCAGCTTATGTAAGCAGCCAAAACATCGCACAGTGGTCAAGTACCACAGGGGCACTTTATGTCCCAACAGTGGCCAGCCCATTGTGTTTCTTTGGCAGGCCATACAAAATCTTACAGACAAAATTTACTGGACATGATGACAGCCTTTCAAGAAATATCATCCCAACTTGGCTGCTGAGATCACTTCGCAGGCTGCTGTCTTCAAAGCAGATGCCCAGATAATGGAACCACCACCAATACGAACACTCACCATGTAAAGTCTATCTCATGGAGTAGGGAAATTATCCAAGCAGACTCTTTCTTGTTGAGAGGGTCACTGCTATCAGGAAATATGTCCTCAACCATGAATTGCACAGAAAAGATGACCCCTGCAGTGAGGGAGTCCTGTTTCCTTCACTGGGTAAGCACAGAAGTCCTCCACAGAGATCATCCAGAACCTGCAGATGGTAAACATAATCCTTTCATGGGCACTGCCAGGGGGTTCCACTGAAGAGGGTGACATAACCCATCAATGCACAGGGACTGACCACACAATTGGTAAGCACTTACTTGTGGAAGGCATGCAGGTAAGTAGCTCATAGGGATTTTCACTGTAAAAAGTAAAATCACTAAAAAACAGTGTCTGTGACACCAAAGTCAGGGACAGGTCTTTTTAGTGTCATTGGTCGGACATTGATTTTATGATTGCCTCAATCGTGCACTTGATTTTCAATGTCAGTCATGCAAAATCAGTGTCGCTATCACAAGCTAGGGATTACAAATTCAAAGCTGATTAGTCGGAGTTTGAATTCGGGCATGTGGTCGGGGGTGGAATCTGAGCTCCAATTTTGGCAGGGGGCGCTGCGAGTCAGATTGTGAATAATGAGGCTGTCGGAGTTAGAAGGAGGATTCCAAAGTTGGGTGGCTAAGTAATGAAGATGCACCTCTAATTGTAAGCACTGGTGGTGCAGTGGTAATGTTTCATCCCCAGTTTCTCGAAGGTAGTAAGTTCGAGACTGAGCCAGGCCAATTCTCCCAAAAAAAGAAGTTGGTGAGTGTGAACCCCTGATATGATGTCTAGTCATCTTATGTAATCACCTTAGAGTGTGCCATAGTAGTAGATGGTAGTACTACATGATACATGATCCTGTTAAGCAGCACATAGAACATTTTTATTCAATGAAATGGACACCATTTTTCAATGATAGAAACACTTATTTTTCAGTGGTTAGGACACTGTTTTTTAGTAGGCTGAATGGGTACTTCAGTGTCACGGAAAAACACTGAAGTTCAATGACTGTCACTGATTCTCAGCTGCTCTGACACTCATTAAAAGTGATTTGGACACTTAATTTTAGTGATTTTACTTTTTACAGTGTTTGCTGACTGGACATGATTTGGCGCTTAGACAGCGTGTTCCCGGTTCAAACCGTGGATGACATTCCAGACAGCGAACTGGCTGAAGAGGAGAGGAAGGAATGACGGTACTGCGATCTCGGAGGCAAGATGTTTGCGTTTCAGTGGACCTGTTCTCTCCGCGTTACATGCAACGTTTTCGAGTCATGCTTCAATTATCAATTGGGGGTCTTGAGTTCTTATATATCTTGTTCTGCATTTAAGTTGTTCCTCGTGTGTTCCATAACTGTACCTATGATTACTCCGATTTGCCTTCGGGATGGGTGAACGGGTGGAGATGACATCCAAAATTTCCGGCACTAGCCCGGGTTGAATGCGAGTCGACGTAATAGTTGGACAAGTGCAGGCAAATTGGATATGTGCAGCGGACAATATCATGATGCTACGATTATCTACACAATATTGAATATCTTGGCTTTGCTTTTCAGAATGCTGGCCCGGTTCATGGGCCGAGCAGTAATGAGGGTAGAAGATGCGATCCTTTTGTGCTCATCGTGAGGTAATTGAATCAAGAGAAAGGCATTAAATGACCTATCCAATGCAAAAAGCAGCTGCTCTTCAGTCACGGCATCTAGCTCGACGGATGGACCAAGCAGCTTCGAGTGCCAAGGACGAACGAGCTGCAAAGCACCTTGCAACCTGGTTGCATCGTCTAGCTTGTGTGGCAGTGCGATCTCAAGCGGCCTCAGACCGGATGCCTGGATTTCGTACGTGTAACTCGGTGCCGATAGATCTGTCCCTTTGAGCCGGATATCTGTAACTCGATGGGCGATACATGGTAGTATAAGGCGGCGATTGATGAATCGTGGAAGGGGCGCCTTAGGAAGTGAGTGGAAGTCGTATGCATCGCGTGCCAGTGGTGCATACGCATCTGGAGTTTTCCGCCGGTCCGCCAGAATACGCTGGGCAATGCCTAACGGTGTCTGGGGACGGCGGAGAAACTGGGGGAGGAGCGACGTAGTGAGTGAGCCACGTAACCTTCGTAGTACTCCGAATGGTGACGTGGGCTGCAGACTCATTGACGACGACCGTTCGTCTGTGTTAGGTTGGGGCGGAGGCAACGGGAGCATTTGAAATGAGGTGATGTGAGTAGGGAAGCAGCTATGAAACAGTGACGCCTCTCCCACCCAATCCAGAACCGAGATATCCCCAGACCGCGATATGATTTCGGCTAGGAGACGGCCTAGCGAGTCCTCAGCAGATTCGCCATACAGAACGGGAAGATGAAGATTGAAGATCCCGAAAAGTGAGTAGGCGACATCCTCAGGTCGTGTGGTACGACGCAAAGACGCCCATTGTAGTCTCGAACGGGCATGATCCATACCTGGAGAAAATTTGGACAAGAATTGGGACTCTATTCCAGTTGCTACCTCCAGCTCTTCCAGCACAGCGATGACGGCTTTATGGTTCGAAGACGCCAGGTTCTTGTAAAGTGACCAGTTTTGAGTGTAGAATAGTATGCACTCGGGAGCCAGTAGTTCTTGGAGGGTCCACCCACGCTTGAACCATTCGCTGTGCCCAAGCGAACCGGCATTGGAAACATCAGAAAGGTATATGATGGTCAAGGAGGATTGTCGATACCACGCGAACATCGATCCAATCGTTTCTTGCACCTCGGCACTGCTGTGCTTGTCGATGCAGCACGTGTCACTCCATGCCCATAAGTAATCCCACTCCAGGGCAACACGACAAAAGGCTTGGAGCTTCCCAAAGCCCCCCTTGGCCGACATGCCATATATCGGGTGGCCCTCGATGTCGCGCAATGATGGCTCTGCTTCACCCCAGCGGTGCGAAAGCGTGGCGTACCGGAAGTGTCTCGAGACATTAGCATGAATGAGGTCTATTTGCTGGTCCCGGTCGCACGTTGTGCATAGTGACACCAGCCGTTTGCACTGTTGACTGTTCATAAAATGTGATACCTGCGCATCACGGCTGCACAATATGCCAGTAGGTGTGTGCAGCAGCCTGGTTGGCGTGGTTTTGAGGGTTTCAAATGCAACATTACGGATGACTTGCTTAATGTCGAAGAGGGTAACATTTGACGCATCCGAGGACATCATGGCAACTTGTGAATTGAGTTTCGTTTGGAGGTAGGCCGCAAGACAGCGTCGAGACACCTCGTAACCTGGGTCTTCACGTAGGAGTAACTCCAGGACTTCTTGCTCGAGAGCAATAGCCTGGTCCAAATCGGCTGCTGCGGGTTGTTGACGAAACCGGTCTGCTAGACACTGCGCCAGGTTGTGGAGGGACAAAGCGCGACTGGGATGCCCAGTCCGGTGGAGTCGCAGCACATATCGGTATAAGGTGATGGCCTCGTTCAGGTCGACGATTGCGTGCCGAGCTTGGAATCTGGCCCTATGGTATTTCACAAGGACACACAGATCGTCTACCACTCGACCAAGTATGACGGGTTCGTTCGAGTATGCACCTTGCGACAGCCTCTGAACCCAAGCTCCAACGGAAACAACTTCGCGAGGCAATCGGAGCTCCAAAGCACACGTTGCAAGACAAATAGCATCGTCCAAGTCGGTCATCATGGCCTGCTTCTGAAACCTGTTCCAGAGGTGTTCTGAGAGCTCGAAAAGGGAAGAGGCGACATCAACCCTGCTTGTTGGACGAACCACCGACACAGCCTGATGACGGGAATTTGCCCTGTGCGAACCAGGCGTGTCAGCCTGTCCCCGAAACTTCTTCCAAAGGTCGCATGCAAGGTTGTAAAGAGCTATTCCACGATCAGGACGCCCTGGTGGATAAAGCTCTAGTGCTGCACGTCCGAGCGTGATGGCTTCTTCCAAGTCATCGACTCCCCCCTGGTTATCATGTCTATTCGACAGGCAGAGAGCAAGTCCTTGGAGCGATGAAGACAGGAGAGGATGTGGAGAGGGGCATAGTTTCAAAGCTGCACGGAGGAGGTTGATAGCCTCCTCCAAGTCGCAGGTCACAGCGTGTTTCATAAATCTCGTCCTGAGGTCAGAAGCGAGATTGTGGAGAGACACAT